ATGTCTTTATGGAAATAACCTTTTCCCTTGACATGCACAAGTATAATTTCAAAGAATATCTGAATAGAGTAGATTTTATACTTTATATATTGTCACCACAGCGACACTATCAACTAAACAAAATGTTGTGCTGTTTAGTGTTATCATTTTTTTGTTGGTTCATACTAATCCAACTTTTTTCTCACTCTCATAACTTTCTTCTGTACCACATGAAGTACTCTGTCCTTTTTGTTGATGTATTACATTGCTTCATTTTCTCAGATCTTTTCCGTTTTCTTGCTCACCTGCACAGATCATCTGTTTTTACAACTGTTTATTTTTTGCACATATTTCTTTATTGTCGCTGTTTTAGTTTCTGTACGTCTTCCTGTTATGACTTTTCTCTCTCAGAGTTATTCTCTCGTGGATCATTGTTGCCATACTCGTATGTTTTGTTTCAAGTTTACCCGGCCTCACTGGGTTAAACTATAGGCTCAAAATATACAACAACTCAACTCAGTATTTTAAGCAACATGGACACCTGTCCATGGATGGTTAACTGAAATAAAATTTGGAAGCCCTGGTGCTTTATTGTCTGGTGTCACCCTACCACACACCAGGTATCCTCCTCTGTCACACCCACTGTCTGCATAGCCTCCATCCCTACATCCATGAAACTTGTTCTCCACCCATTACAGATCCCAGTGTCATCTGCAGACATCATCATCCACAGAGACTCCAGCCTGACCTCATCTCTCAACCTGTCCATCAGGTGCTCAGAAATATCCCTGAAATAATCCCACCCTCACCCTGCCTCCCTTGCTGCTTTTGGAAAATCTCACAAGTAAGCCTGCAGTCTGAGGGCAAAGTCCATTACTGGGATATTATGGCACTGAACAGAGTCTCTAGATTACAAAAACTGCCACCTAACAGGTCCTCAGCTGACACCTTCATTAAATTGTCCCCATAAAACACCAGCCTGAAGAGTAAAGAGGCCCCTGCAGGGTAGTGGCCTTCAGGGCGGAGTTAGGGTGATGAACCTGCATGCTTGTTGGGTCACTGGTACTGATTTTGAAGTAAATAATGTTCCTCGAGCTTTGAGTGGTCGATAAAACAGGGAAAGTGCCATGTTGCAGTCCTTCGGCCCAATCATTACCCGCTGCATAATTAATGTGTCCGTTGGGACGAATCACTAAACCTCGTCACACGCTTTGCAGTTACCTTTGCAGTCACATAGTTCTCACTAACTTCAGGAAAAAACACTGCTTTTAGTCCCAAGACCCCAACCGCCAGGAACCTTTGATAACTCTTGGTGAGTTTTATTCATGATTACAAACCATTTACTTCACCTGTGCCTGCTTTAAAGAGCCTCTTGCATCTGGATCTTCTATTCTATTCTTAATTATATATGTAGGTACAAAGTTTTGCTCTAATCTCTTTATCGCTTGAATCTTTGGGTCATTTGAAATACTTTACATCACTGTCAGTAAAGTCTAGCTAACTTGTTTGAGACCATTATTTTTATTCTTATATAAGCAGGAGACTCGCGTTAGGCACTGACCATCGTAAAATCAGCGTTGGGGGATGGGACACATCAAAGAGCTGGATAAGCTGTGCATAACCTCTATAACTTCATACCAGCGTTCCACTTCATGCCCCCTGCTCTCCATTTTGAAAAATGATTACAGAGACCAAGCAAATCCTTTCCCCCTGACCAAACACAAACACGCACACACAGATAAACAACGTCTCCCTCCACTGGGCTGAAGCTCACGGTAGCAAAGATGAACTACAATGTCCATAAAGACGTCAGATTTATTGCTGATTTTCTGCTTGATCTGCGTTTAATGTCGAAGACTGTAAGGTATCAGCGAGGCCAATTTCCAGGAGCAAATTACCCGCCTGGGCTGAGTCCTTTGTGTGTTTGCTGAGTGCTGAATATAAAGACTATTAATGGTTTGTTGGGCCAAGACTTTCAGAGATCCCTGGGAGTTCCCGGGGTTGTGGAAACTGTTGACAGTACAGTCAACGTGCTGCCTGGCCTTCAGATTCATTAAGTCAGTTTGCCTTAGCTGTGTGTGCGTTATGTGTGCTCCATTAAGCAGCATATTTTCTGTCATCAGCCAGAAAGTCGTGTTTGTGTGCATTTCACATGCTTGCAGGCTTATATAACCATCCAGTATTATTACACAACGAAGTGCATCAAAGACATGACTCTGGACACCTGAGGCCTGGGGCCCGTTCTTCGTACCTCGCTAAGTAGGTTAGCTGGATTTGATTGTTGACGATTTCGCGTGATCTTGGATCGTAGCAGTCAGCTGAATCTTTGTTTGTTTGAAAAATTGTTTCAAAATAAAAGTCTGTCTTTGGCATCACCTGGATGACCTTGTTAGACTTGATGGACATGTACATCCATCCATAAGTGGTTCAGTTTTTGCCTTCGTAAAGCAGGAGGTAACGTTGTTGCTTTAGCTATGTTTGCTGGGCTATAATACTTTATAAATAGTACTGTGTCCAGGTGGAAAAATTCACCTGTCATCCAATTTGTGCTTCTGGGTCATAGTGTGTCTTCCTTTCTCCGAGTCCTCTTTCAGTCAGGACATGTCTGTGCCCTGAGGGATCCTTTCACGCTTCAGTTTGACCCCAATTCAGTGGCCTGAGCATGTCTCTGTAAACCCCAAACTTACAGCCAGTGGCCTTTTTGAATCTTACCAACTTTTTCACAATTAAAACAACTGAACACATGTAACTTTGGTGATATTTTATCTTCTAGAAATGAGAAGAACAAGCACAAAACCACCTGACCTGCTTTGTTTCCCCTCTGCTGCTGCTTGCCAAATAAACCATTTCAGGTCATGTGACATATTTGCCACAACAGTGTCTTAATCTGAGTGAGTCTGATGAAAAACTGTTAGAGCAAAATGTTGCTCTGTTAATTTTGATCGATCAGAAGCTGTCAGTGCAGAGTGGTTAATTTTCTGACCTCCAAATGGGAGGACTGGAGCATGTCCAAAACTGGTTCCGGAGGTTGTGAAAAGCTGAAGCCCATTTCTGTTTGCTGCCACCTTATATCTCTGCATTAGAGGAGAAATGACAGCTTTCATTACTGCTTACTTTAGCAGAATGATTGGTATGGGAGCATCCAGATATTGATGGCAACCATAATATATGAAAAAATAAAGTGTAATTAATTCGCAAGCAAAGAGAAAAAGTTCAAGATTATTTTTCTATGCATGCATAATGGGTAGGTTACTATTTTTAGCCCTGATAATAAATGGAAATGTGATATTGTGAGAGCCATGAAACAATTAGTTCCCAGTGATGTACCTTTGCCAGAAGATGGGAACATTCATTATGACCCACAGAAGTGCTTCAGGCTCATCCAGTTGGAGGAGGTCCCAGGTCAGACGCGGTTTAGGGATGTCACAGTGTCTCCCCAGAAGAGCTGAAGGAGGTGCTGAGGAGGAGGTGGTCAGAAATAAGTGACTAAGACCATAAACTCATTAGGAAAGTGTTTACAGAGGTCAGGGCTGAGGGTCATTTTCACTAAGATTTTTAGAGGACCAGAAGTCTTTTTGCTGTCACAGGTGTCCTTTAAAAAGAATGCGGCTTTAAAACGCCGGCTTCACTTTTAAGCCCAGAAGCTACATCGGTCTTTTACACCATCTATAGTTCTACATAATTAATATTTTTACTCTGAATATTGTCACCAGCAACAATACTGAGGGAAAGTCTCCACCAGCTTCTGAGGGGAAAAAAATCTGACTTCTAAACCGCTAAATGAGAACATGCTGTGTTCACAAGCTGTTAGCTGCATCTGTCTGCAGTTAAAGTAGATTTATACCTTTTTTTTTTCCTTAAAACGCCACTTTTGCATGAAAGCAATGCAAATGCAACACATTCAGACTGAAAAGGAAAAACATCAGGGTGTCAGGGGTGGTGCTCTGCATGGACCCACTACCAAGCTCTACATGGCACAATTAATACCACTTCTAATACTTATGCTGTTAGCAGAGTGTCATTGTTTTCTTCAGTTCCAAACATGACGGATGCATCTGTCGTAAGGCTGTCTTTCTTTTCTGTTTTTTTGTCTTGACCTGAGGATAATTTCTTGATGTGCATGGTCAAATCTGAAAGCTTGAAGGTGATGAGAGTTAACCAAAACCAAAAGCAGAGTCGCTGCTGACAGCCAAACAGGAGGAATGATTTGATTGATACTTGTGAGCTTTCATATATTAAAGAGCAGTTTTAGTAGCACGTTTAACGCAGTACTTCTACTTGCTCTGGAGTGTTTTCGGTGTATTTGAGAAATGTGAATACCTCTTCCACCACATGCTGTGCAGATACATTATGCTGGTGAGGATGGAGCCTATATTTCCCCTGTCTCCTTACAAACTCTCTTCCTCTCCCTCACTCACATATTAGATGGAGGGGGAGAGCAGTAGCCTACAGGAGTGAAGCATGCATAAAAAGCACCACAATAACCCCTCCACCTCCACCACCACCAGCAGCAGTGTTGCTGTGAAGCACGTCAGAGGAAGCGGGCTATGAATCGAGGTGCACAGCGGGGTAAAGAAAACATTTCTTGGGGACACAGCTAGGGGACAGTGCCGGTCTCCTGACTCGGGACTGACACTCCCCTCCCCTCCACGCACGCAAACTAACATCCCGGAAAGCTTCAAGTCCACATCGCGCTGCAGGGGAAAACATCTGAGGTAATTATGCAGACTTTTTTCCACTTCTCTGCTCGCTTTGAAACAACGTGAGCCGAATACGGGAGGGAGTGGAGGCGGTGGCGGAGGTAATGGTGGTGAGGATGTCAACTCAGTGGTAAAGTCGAGAGGCACGTGTTTGTTTTTGAAGTGGTGGGGAAAGGATTCAAAGCGGCTCCGCTGAGACTTTGTCTTTGCAACTGTTTGCGTGGGCTAGTGGATGCATATTTAATCGATGAGTGGGCAGCAGTAATTCACAGTACAGGAGTGGGCAACTGAAGCTGTGGATGAGAGAGAGGAGAGGCTTTTGGTGACAAGTCGATCAGCTGTGCTCGCTCTCGGAGGCCTGGGAGAAGTCGGTCTTTAAAGCGTGGTGTTGCTGCTGGGCTCTGAGGCGTGGAGGGTGGGTTACTAGGGGTGGAAGAAGGCGGGTGTTTATTATTTTTAATGTCATAAGGAGGAGAAGCGGTGAGTGAGTGTTACAGAAAAACATCAAAGCTGAACTGTAGTTTTTGGACATTTCTTGACTTTTTCGCTGTTATTGTCGCAGCCGGGGGGTCCTTGGGGGGGTTTGCAGCCTCGCTCTCTCTCGCTGGAGTCAGTGTGGCGGGCAGGGACAGTCCAGGCGCTCATATACAAAGCCAGCACGTTTCACTGTGTCTGCAGCAGCTGAGCGGTGCTGAGCACCACCACCAGCAGCAGCAGCAGAAGCAGATCTGAGAGGATTTGGGAGCACAGTTGGAGGATCGACGACGCATCGATGATGAAGCTCACCTGCTGTTTGCAGGTTGCTGGTCTGAGGTTGGAGGGTGCCGAGTGAGCGGAGGTGTTGCCGAAGCGCTGTCCGAGGTGCTGAAAAGCCCGCGGACAGAGCGCCTTTGTCGCCTTTCCAGTCGAGATGACACGCACGAACTGACGTGAATGCCAAGCAGCACAACGCGGCGGTTAACACGGCTCCCCTGGCCAGAGTGCATGGGACCGCGCGTCCTCTTGGCGTTAGAAACATGGAGAGAATTTTCCTGCTCGTCCTGAGCTGTCTCGGCGTCTCTCTGGTCACAGCGGGTAAGTTTACGATTGTGTGCAATTACAAAGATGTTCCGCGAATTTGAGCGCAGCAGCACCTTCCAGAGTGGCTTTTATCTCTATTTTCTTCCAACTAAACGAACCATGGAATAATTCCTCTATCGGCATCTGTGTGAGAGAAATGCTGCTGGTGCTGGGCTTCAGATTTAATTCAGTGTTGTTGGTGGTGGTGTTGCTATTGTGAGACGCTGCGTAGTCTGGTGTGTTTGTGGGGAAACGCTGTGTTTGTAAGACAATACATGCATTTCTGTGCGGTAGTCTAATTAAACATGCTACAGTTAGTGGTGGTGAGGGATCCACATCACCAGACACAGTGGGGCTAAAGTGTGTGTGTGTGTGTGTGTGTGTGTGTGTGTGTGTGTGTCTCGGTGTCTGTGTGTGTGTGTGTGTCTCGGTGTCTGTGTGTACGTGGGTGTGTGTGTGTGTGATTGATGTGATCCAAGCTGACCTTTGAATCTCATTTCAGGTCAGTACTATAAACTGCTGCATGTCCACACACAGGCAAACTATCCCAGTGTGAAAATTAGACATATGTAGGGACGTTTGTTGACTCCACTGCTCATTACAGACACTTCCCTCTAAGTCTGGCTGTAGTCGACAGCCACTGGCCACTATAAATACATGATTGGACTGCCAGGGCTGTGGAAGTATCCAGCTCACCCTGTGTGTGTGCACATCTCTAAAACAGGCTTTTTAGATCTCAAACTACACACACTTGACCGCTCTCTGTGATGAAGTGCCACACTACACTCCTGCCATCAAAGTGCACCTTTAGTTCACTCAGCACACTCCCACTCCATAGCCTTTCCACTCACGATACATCACTATCCTGCTCCTGTCTCTGCGCGCGCACACACACACACACACACACACACACACACACACACACACACACACACACACACACACACACACACACCCTCAGTCGTGTGTGTTTTTGTCTCCTAAACTTCCAGAAATAGATGTACAGTAAAAGTCAGTTTAGGTCCCTGCAGGCACAGACTACACAAATGTGCCTCTTAGACCTCTGTATTGTCAACAATGTGCACATTTGTAGAGTTTCTTCTTTATTTCTTGGCAACTAAAACAAACCATTTCATGCTTGCAAACCCTCCCAAGTCTTTGGTGTCCGTGTGCCTGGTGGGCTTTTACAAGTGGGTTTCCTCCTGCAGTCCAAAGACAAGTATGTCAGGTTAGTTTGCTTGCTTAAACTGACCACAGGGGGGAATGCATGATGGTTAAAGCTGTGTGAGACAAGCAGGGATCAAAGATCGTGGCTCAAGAGTTGGCAGTTCGTCTTGTAACCGGAAGGTTGCCGATTCGAGCCCCGGCTCGGACAGTCTCGGTTGTTGTGTCCTTGGGCAAGACACTTCACCTACCGCCTACTGGTGTTGGCCAGAGGGGCCGATGGCGCGATATGGCAGCCTCGCTTCTGTCAGTCTGCCCCAGGGTGGCTGTGGCTACAACTGTAGCTGCCTCCACCAGTGTGTGAATGTGAGAGTGAATGAATAGTGGAATTGTAAAGCACTTTGAGGGCCCCGAAAAGCGCTATATAAATGCAATCCATTATTATTATTATTATTATTATAAAACCACTATCTTAATGCCTGTTTCAAAATGCATGAATAAATAAATGGATACCTTGTAAACAATATTATGCTTGAAAAACAAAAAGTGAATTTTTCTATAGTTGCATTAAAGTAGAAAATGCCACCATTGGTTTAAAACTGGTGTAGAAGGATGGAGAATAACAGCAGCACTTAAGATGGAAGCAGCAGCACCTTTAAAGGTGCAATAAGGAACTTTTTTTCCCATCAGTGTGCAGAAATGATGCTGATTGCAGCTTTAACTGCTTTGTTTTATGAGTTTGTTTCTTTGCATTTATATTGGATGAACGTCTGCATTGGCTGATATCAGTCAGTCTGGACTGATGTCAGCAGCCAGTGTTGATCTGTTGGGTTGCATCAGTTTTGTGCTAGATGCTGAACGATGATGCGACAAAGAGCCTAAACCCTTCAAACGGTTCAGTGATTATTATTAATATTATTATTATTATTTTAATGTAGACTTTTATTGTTTCTTTGGCAGAAATAGTGGATGAAAGGAAAATAAAATCTAAATATCAGCCAGAATCGCTCCATCCCTGTTTGTTGTTTCTCTTGTGAAACAGCTATGACTGTTGGATACAATTATTAGTCGAACATGTGCTGGACAGACATTTGATCATAGGTGTGTTTCTCTCTGTGTTAGTCCTCGAATAGACTGAGGCTCTGTAGTCTCTCATCCTGTGACATGTGAAATAGGCTCCAGTCCCTCTGTCACAACTTCACAATGGATGAGCAGTAAAGAAAATGGATGGAAGGACTTCAGCAGAACCTTACTCTGTTATAAAGCCTTTATTAACCCTATAAATACCTCATTCAAAGAGAGACAATTATGCAATTCCAAATGTTATCAAGTGTTTGTTTATGCTTACACCTGTTGTGGGTGCTTCATCACAGCAGTTCAGAGCAGATCTGAGATTTTCATCAGCAATTTTAAACGCACCATTTATCCAACTGGGCATGCAGTGAGGTGGAGGATAGCTGACGCTGGGATGAGGCATCCACCACCGAGCTAACAGAGCTGAAATCACCTTCAGAATTCAGCCAGTAAGATTCTGCTGGATGTTCTTGACGTGCTCTAGAGACACATCGCCTTGTTCCTCTCATTAACTGCCACATACCTGAAACTAGAGATGTCAAGCTCATTTAACATGGCGGGCCACACACAGCTCACTGTGATCTCTGTCAGTGTAACAAAGTTTAACTACACTTCTAACTGAGTCGCCTTAAAATAAGAATAAAATCATTTTAACAGTGTTTTCAATTTTTCTACATGAGAAAGAAATGCTGCTGTCAAAAATAAGAGAAATGTGTCAGCATGATTTAAACATGAAACAAATAAATGTGTCAAATTAGAGAAAAACGTAATTGTTTATCTCTTACTTGATTACTGTGGTGTAGTATGAGGACTTCTTTATCACCAGGGAAAGCTGTAAAACTGAAATACAAGCAAATAAGACCAAAATTCATGCCTTCCTCATAATTTTCCAAAGCGGTCCAGTGGGCTGGACTGGAGTCTTTGCCGAGCCGATTCTGGCCCACGGGTCTTATGTTTGACACCCGTGCCTCAGATCTTTCACGCACAGTTTTTATAGTGAGTGACAAAGAGATGAAAAATACATAAACTGTCCCGTTTCAGCGGTGGTTAAAAATGGCCAGCTGAGGCAGGGTGTGATTGGCCGTATGCAGGTTCTTCCTCTTTGGATTTAATCTAATGGTTTATGCAAGATCAACATCGCCCACCGGTTTTAGACGCCACATTTTGAAGCTACTAATAAAAGAGCAGACTTTGACTCACCAAAAGTACAAATTACCTGAATGGGCCGCTCCACACAGCAAGCCATGATATTAGTCAGATAATCCATTAAAATGATTTCAAACGCAGCACCGCAGTTGAGAGCAGACAGTGATTGGCTCTAGCTCCCCGTCACCTGTCAGGGACACCTGTCTATCAATGTGGCCATGCCCCTGACTCCAGCATGCAGATGGACGTAAACAAATTCAACCAGTTCAAAGTTACCATGAAGGGGGAAACTATCCATCGAGCCCAACACTGAGTTTAATTTCAGGCTGTAAATAAAGATTTGAACACTTTGATGTTGGGTAGTTTAACACAGGGAGACTGACTCCGTTTTGCAGCCGGCCTCAAGTGGCCACTGGAGGAACTTGAGTTTTTGCCACCTCCCGCAGATTTCTGCTAGTTTTTAACATCTGTCAGCGCCCTCTCCTCTGATTTTATAAAGTTGAGTTCATTTAAAATCCTTTTTCCTTTTCAACACTTCTCTGACAACAAAAATAGTTCTTTTCATTTCTGTGTCTCAAAATGTGAGGCACAAAAGCCGATTTTCTATGCAAATGCTAAAAAAAATGAGGATTTTTGCATCCTTTCATGAATGAAGACAGAGGTACAAATCCAGCTTGTGCACATGTGCGAGACAGCGTGTAAAACTTACATTCTTTTTATGGCCAGCAGGGGGCAACATAACGACTGTCAGTCGATTCGAGGTCAACCCTCAGCTCCCTCACTCTGTGATCTCTCTCAACACTTGTATATTAAAAGTAATGATTAAGCCCAACAAATAAATAAAGTCTTATTAAAAAGAACATTAAGTTAAATTTGTAAATTATTGTAATTACAAGAGGAGAATAAATCAGGCCATGCTCGCTGGCTCATGAAGATTCACCTCAGATGATGCTGTTGTAGAAAATGTTTGGCTCAAATCTTCACAATGGCGGCTCTTTCCATCTTTTATATACAGTTAATGGATTGTGATTATTAAAGAGGACCTACAGCTTTATGATTGTGACTCACTGTTTTACTGCAGAGGTTTATGCCTCTGGTCCCTGGACTCAGGCCAGAGGACCACTGTTGAATCTTTCCGCGTCCTTTAAATCCTTTCATCTCCTAAATGTATCTAAAAATAAATAAATAAAAATCCAACAGATCAGGATCATTCAAAATTATGACATCATCACACTCTATTTTTACTTTTTCATATTTGTTTGGCTTACTATTATAAACCTCAGTGAGTCAAAATGCTTGGTGACACTTTTGGATTCCCTCTCCAGCATGAGTCAAGCTTTTGTCTCCCACTTAGTTTAGACATAGTTAGACGCCTGCAGCAGGAAAAGCAGGCCAAACCAGTGCCGAAGCAGAGAGGTGGGTCGGCAGGAGTAAAACTGACACCGTGGTGACGTCTTTAAAGTTGTCTGTGTTTACAGGGACTCATAAACAGTCGGTTGGTCCTGTGAAAGGAAAGGTAATGTTTCCATTTAAAATGTAAATTGACTCTCTTAACACATTCATCTAAATGAGGCCATAAATCCTTGCAGGCAATTTTGTTCACTCCCTAACGGTTCTGTGTTTGAGGAACA